ATATTCATTATAATAAGAAAGAGTAAGAGTAGTATATGGTACCTTGAGAAAAAAAACCTAAAATAATTTTACGCAACACGAATTTTTAAATTAACAACCCAATTTTATTATATGCAAATATTTGATACTTCTAACTAATAAAATTTTATACTCTAATAGCTTACGCGACACGAAGTCCTACTTACGCTGCGTAGTATAATAGCCAAAATGCGACGAATTACGTTGTAAATATTTTAAAACACTAACAGGAATATAATTTCAATATAAATGACCGTTAAGACGAGATTATATTATTTATTGTGAAACCCCGTGCGTAAAAAAAGACCAAAATTTTAAATATTTATTTGTTGAAAATTAAGCACATCATTTGTTTTTTAAGAGAAAACAAATAAATACTATGATAGAATATCAACCAATTTAATGCGTGATATATCATGTTTATCAGTTTGAAAAATGGAATGTTTTGTCTAAGTGATTTTAATTGCAATAATTATGGAATGTTGTTGTTGTGGATATATTAAGGGACGATCTTTATTTATATAGAATTAAAAGACAAATTTGTTTCCATAAAATGAAAATTACCTAAAAATAAAATCAAAATATTTATAAATTTCAAAATTAAAACTCTATTGATTTCATGACCACTTATCAAGTAAACTTAATTAAACATATTCTAATACTCATAGAAACTAATGTATAAGTGATTTTGTAATGTAAACATCATTTAAGACCAAAATTCGATATTTTTTTTATATTCATTGGAATTGGTACCGAATGCGCGATATTTAGTACTAAACTACAATTTAATGGGTATTGTCTAACTCTAGGAGTGGTACTATTTTTACAAAGATTTACCAAAGTTAAAGTAATTCATATTGGTTGACCAAAGTAGGTTTTCCTTTTTCTTAATTTACGATGTATTGTTCTTATTTTTTTCTTATTCAATTCATATAATAATTGCTATAAATATGTATTCTATTTATTTTAAAATATTTATAATTTATTTATTTGTATTTTGTTCTTGTATATTATATCTCAAAATAATCATATTTTAACGATTTTCGATTTGCCATATTGCATATACAAAATAAAATATAAATTTTAAAAATATAAATACAATATAAATTATTTTTTAATAAATGTAATAAAAATTTAATTCAATAATACACCATAAAATAACAATTTTAATGTGTTTTTTTCATAAATTTTAGATAAAAAAAATTAAGTAAAATAATACGGGACCATTTTAAATTAATTACAACTTTGTTAGTTATTCATTATACATAATTTACAATAAAAAATAATTTCATTTTAATTTTTCTATTGTATAAATATCAATATATTAAGTACCAGTATAGTACACGGGTATCATATTAGTTGATATATATTCTTTTTGAAAATTAGATAGATCTTTGAATAAATATTTTTTAATAAATTTTAAAATTTATAATTTAATTCTAGAGAATTAGTTGATAAATTGGAATGACTGAGTAACAACAATACCTTAAAAATCGTAAGATTAGTATAATATAGATTTATATGAAATAATGATTAGTAAAATATGGAGTTTTTTTGTTTGGATAGTTTATATAAAATTTAATTTATATTACTTAATGAAAAGATATAAGTTTTAATATTATACTTAATATTCACATATATTTTTAAATAGAAGATATAAAATTTTCCAAAATATTTATTTTATGGAACCACATTGTATTTAAATTGAATTTTTGAATAAAAGTTTTAAAATGACACTTATTTTGAAATGAAATAATGTAAATTATTATCAGTTATGTACACAGTACGAGTTGTATACAAATTTTAAATAGATATATTCTATAATTTAGCACAACTTAAATTTAATATAAAATTTTAAATAAATTAATATAGGGGGCGTATTAAACATTGATTTCATATTTATTAATTTATAAATATTATTTAGTGAGAATTTTTAATATATATAAATATTAATGAATACCTATTACTCGTGCAAATACAAGCGTGCATCGCACTAGATTCGTACTAGTTAGTTTTAATGAGTTTACAAAACTGATACTTATACTAGGATAGGACAGTACCAGTGTTGTAGTAACCTTGGACTTATATATTATCATTTAGTACGATTTATACGAACGAACATAAATATATACTGTAAATATTTGTTTACAAAAATGATAGCTCTAATGTACTAGGATAATACCAATGTTGTTGTAAAAAAAGAGAAATAAGAAAAGTGTAATAAAAATAATTGTGTGGAAGGAAAGAGAAAAAGAGTAATAAAAATAATTGTTAGTACCTATATATTGTGTGGAAGGAAAGAGAAATAAAAATAATAAGAAATTAAGAAAAAAAAAAGTTGTAGGTGTGATAAATAGTAAAAGATGAAAAAAGAAAATAATAAAAAATGTGTGAAAAGAGAGAAATAAAAATAATAAAAATTAAGAATGATAGTAGTAGAGAGAGAGAGAGAAATAATAAATTAATAAGAAGAGTTAGTTGGTAGTGAGATGATGTCATATTTCATTTTCTTTGTGGTTTTTTGTAATTGGAGGGATTTAATTGAAACTTGAATAGGGGGTAGGTAGTAAAAATGAAAGAAAACAAGGGTAGGGTCTGACATGGAAGATGAATAAGGGATTGAGAATTTTTAAAGAAATCTCCCTTAAAAAAAGCTCAAGCTTGTCTTTAATACATATTTATGTGACAATTGAAATTATTCATTGAAATTTTTATTTATTAAGGTACTTTAATTAAAAAATAATAATATATTAACTAGTTGATAAGTTGTTGTAAACTGGAAACAAGCTTATCAACTTATATCAATTAAATCCATAGTTTCTATTTAAATCTAACATAACTTACCATAAAAATTTGTTGGATTTTCGGATTGTTCAATCATATATACGTCTATTCTAAACAAAATGAACATTATATAAATTGAAAACTAATATAAAAGTTGTTATATTCGTTTCATGCTATTTGTTGACGGTCGATTTTGTCAACAAAATACGACAATAATATGCTATTATGAGGTTGATATTTGAGATTTGAAAAAGAACTAAAAAAAAATTAAGACAATAAGAAAGTCGACAAATTAGGTACTTGCATTAATACGCTTATACCGAGATTTATTGATGAATTTGGATCGCTTTTGGATCTCATATTACATATGCTCGTCATGTTGGAGTATATAATAAAACTTGGTCTTTTAAATGTTATTTACACCAAGCAAAAACCATCAACATGCACTCGAGGTCTGCGAATAAGCTACTTGTATTAAACCAAGTGAACTCCATAGATTTGAAACTGAAAGTCAAAAAATAAATTCATAGATCAAACCAAACAAAAATCATTGACCTGCCACCGAGGTTTGCGAATAAGCTCCTTGAATTGAACCAAGTGAAATCCATCGACCTGCCACTGAGGTAAAAAAAATAAATCAGTAAATCAAACCAAGCAAAAACCATCGACCTGCAATCGAAGTCTGCGAATATGCTCATTGAATTGAACCAAGTGAACTTAATCGACCTGCCACCTAGGTCAAAAAATAAATCCAAAAATTAAACAAAGTAAAAATCATTGGAGGTCTGCACTAGTACTTTTTAGTACTTTTTAAAAGTGAAGATCAATTACGAGGTAGGGGTAAAATAGTAATTATATTTGTAATACTATTTTTCTTTACGCATTATTTTATTTTATTTTATATTGTATTATGGTTATATTAAGTTTTATTTTTAACTGTTAGTCAAGGGTCATATGAACAAACTAGTACGAATCCCGTGCGATGCACGAGTAAGAGATACATATTAATATTTATATTAAACGATGGGATATACGTTAATAACATAACACGTAGAGAATTAAAGTAAAACATAACCACGAGTAAGAGATACATATTAATATTTATATTAAACGATGGGATATACGTTAATAACATAACACGTAGAGAATTAAAGTAAAACATAACCACACGTATGTCTATATATTTGAAAATAAAATTAAAAACATAACCATTTGCTTGTGAAAATCTATATTGTCAACATCTTGCTGCATAGCAAAATTGCAGAAGTCAAAATAAAACGTTGGGAAATCGGTAGGATACTCCAACACTATGCAGTAATAGATTGTTATTTACCGATGTTACTTTCTACCATCCTTGAATTTGTCATCATCTTTGTAATGTTAATGTCACGAATTAGTCCAGTTATGCGGCCACCCTGTAAAATCGCAATACAAAAATAATATTTTCGTCAAAATATATTAAAATAACAAATATTGACAACTACTATTAAATCACATAATGAAGGATACTAACATCACTATCGTGGAAAACTATTTCTAAATAACTTATGTAAAAGGCATCAACATCGTCTTAAAGATGTTGCTGGAAGTTTCAAGATGACATTCGTATTTCATTTAAAATCCTTGATTAGACCAAGGGTTGATCCATGATTATTTTGACTGTGTGAGTTTATGATTAATATTGAATTTCATTTTACTAGGAATGCGAGTTTATTTATAGATGAAATTTTGGTGCATATATATGCACTTATTTTCTAAATTTTAAAATGTGGATTTATATGATATAAGCTTATTACTTGATTTGATCTTTTTTTTTGGCAATTTTGAGGAAAATCGGATCATATCCCAAGAATATCCTGAGACTTGATTTTTTTTTTTTCGATTTTGGTGGTAATAAAAACTATTCCAATAATATTCTGTATTTATCTCTTAAATATATGATTTTTTTAAAAAATGGTAATAAAACGTACCACAAAAATAGTTCTACAACCAAAGGTGCCTTTTTTGCAAATTTCTCTTGAAAATCAAACTTATAGAATTAGGTGCGCGCTACCAAAAATCGATGAAAAAGGGAATGAAAAGTGAACAAACGACAACCATGGCAGAAAAAAAGAAATCACAAAGAGAATATAAATAAACTGGTAAATTGAGAGATCACAAAGAGAATTTAGATGTGTGCATTGAGAGATCCAACTGACAGAAAGATGAAGCCCCTCTAAGGCAAAAAAGCCTTGTCGGCCAGCTTTTTGAATGCAAGGATCAAGATACACTCTTAGCACAAGTTTCAAATGAAAGGATTGAGCAAGCAAATAAAAACTCGCAACTACGTAAAAGTTGATATATGCATTGAAGGTGATTTTTCCATCTGAATCCACGACATGTGTCTTGTGTTTGTACGTCATCAAAATTGTCCTACAAAAAGAAAATTCAACAATGCTATAAATTCATACAATTATATCACATTAGGTAAAGCATGGACCTGAAGCTCGGATTTCTAACCTCTTTAAGTTCACCCACTTCCAGGTATGCTGCCAGCTTCGGGATGGAGATTATTAAGTACACTTTTAAGAATGTCCGGAGGCCCGACAGTAATTGTTGCTTCCTTACTTCATAAATAAACAACTTCAACTGTATTGATTAGCACGCCATGCTGCTGAAAAAAAAAAAAGNGAAAACACACTCCAAATTTTGAAGGCCCAGCGCAGAACCAACAAGTTAAAATCATAAGCTCTCAACCCCATTGATTGCTCATTTTTTCTTTTATATACCTGAACTGAAAACATACTCACATATTGCCAGATTATCTTCTACATTGGTGAATCCCAAACTCGATTCTTGACGCCCTTCGGTTGAACTCCAACTGCAGAGCCACTGCCGACTGCAGCGACGCCTCCTACGGCTTTAATTGGCAGATGCTTTTCACGCAATCACAGTTCTTAACCTCACTATATTCCCATGTTTCATGTCTTTCAAAAGAGATATCTCTTTAATAACCGTGTTGGGTACTCCCTCATCTTTCTGCTATAGACAGATTTTCTTTGGAGCAATGGTTTCATTTATCACTCGATCACGCGTGACATACACCCCAAGAGAATCAGACCATAGAATACTCAACAAAGACTCCACCTTTTTCCCCCAAATAACCTACCATTCAAAAAGCCCAAGCCAAGCCCCTTTCTAAAAAATAAACAAATAACAAATGCAGTCCCATAATAATTAATCATTGAAACTCTAAACCTCAATAACCACAAATACAAAACAAAGATCAAACAGAAATATAATAATTTGGTCCGCAAAGAATAGAACACACAGACACCAAAGTGCTGTGAATATAGAACAAAAACTGAAGTGGAAATCGAACCTGGCCGCCATTTTTTAGACTCGATTGAAGATAATGCGCTGCCAGGACACCGTTCGTCACAGTCGGACCGTTCATCTCAACCATTGTTTCCAGTGCAATTGTCGTCCTTAAGAAAGTGTTGCAGGATTTAAATTACCTCATAAGTATATCAATCATCCACCAGAAATTACCAACTAACAGCAAGATCAGAACAAACCCTCTAGACTGCACGTTGCACAATATAAGATCACCATATATACCCAACAAATAACAGATTGATTGTCAGTTATGAAGAATGCTACATAATTATTCTATTTATAAATCACACACGTAAAGCAAATATATACATCAATTACAAAAATCACAACTCAGTAACAAACAGAAAAATGTTCAAAATTGTCAATTTCCTCAAAATCACCCAACCAATTGAAGAAAATTAAACACACCCCATTTAAGAAAAAAAAAAAGAAAAATTTGTAAAATTGAACATCAAATTACTAGCAGGGATTGTCGCCTTTGGAGTTTGGACCGCACATGCCGATCGAATTCCAAGGTCTCGTTGTAGTCTCGAGCAGTCGTCACAAAGATGGGCCAGTCGCAATCGGCGCGTGAAGAGGACGGGCGGCTAGGTGTGTGGGGCGGAGGGTTTTGTGAAGGTTCGACAGAAAAATCCCCTGTTGGTTTTGGTGTTTTCCGACGGCGGACAATGAGGGGGACTCCGCTCAAATTCGCTTCTCCTACTGTTGGAGNGTTGGAGATGTTTTTTTTTATCGCATTAGAAGCACCCATTCAATTCGAAATTTGAAATCACCAACAAAATACACGGCTCAACTACAAGATTCAGATTAGAGAAGAAAGAACATGCTGAAGAATAAGTTAATTACAGAAAGCATTCATATATATCGAAAAATCAACACCAACCCATCATCATATTTTTTCCAGTAATTGCAACATATTTTCCGAGAAACGATTAATTGAGCTAGGGATAGAAAATCAAATTACGCATCAATTGATGTCTTCATCATCGAAATCATCCTGGAAGGAATTGAAGAAATCGGCATCGGCAAAACGGTGGAGGTCCAAGATGGGGCCCTCTCCGAACAGATCCAAGGACGAGTCGGCGTCGTCCACCTCCATAGCCACTGTGACGCCGTCGCTTTGGTCCTCTGCCTCCCCGAAGAACTCCATAGCGACTGTCTTCATTATCTTGTCGCCAGATTCACTCTCTCTAGCTCTCTCCTCTTCCTATCAGTTGTCCTGTTGGAGATGTTTTTAGAGAAGAAAAAAAATAAGAAGAGAGGAATTAATTCAAAAGCGAGATTATCTTTCCTTTTTTTTTCTCCTGCGGATGCGATCTTTTCTTTCGAAATTTGGATTAAAAAAATCAGATGATAGAAATAGATAAGTCCAAATAGATTAAAATCAATAAATAAAATCTTCAAAAAATTCGAATTGATGACTGGCGAACTTATTCATTTTTTCGCAAAAAATCCTGCTCATTATAGTAAACTTTAGGCGGGAATTGAAATCTTTTTTTTTGTTTATTTTTAGTTGATTTTTTCAAACAACTATCATTCCCTCTTTATACATTATATATTAATAGATAATGTTTGTGATGTGATTGTGAACTATAAATACCAGATAACTATAAATATAAGATACGAACTCATCCTGAAGAAGAAGAGAAGGACTACGAAACCCTGCCACCCAAAATCCAAGTCGAGAACGGCCACCGCCCACCGGCCACTCACGGTTCTCTGGCTCTTCAAATCGGTGTGGCTCGATTTGAAAAAGAGTTTACGAAACACCAAATGATTGATTTAATGTAGAGTCCAAAGTAGTTGAGAAAGTTGAAAGTGGTGGTTGGAAATGGCAGATATGGGAATCGTCTCAAACACCACCAATCTAATTCCCGATAAAGGTCAGCCCCACGCTCCCTGCAACGACAATTTGATGTTTGTGGTGCAGCATGTCATCTATGGGGCACCATTCGGTGGCTGGGTGCTGCAGCAGGATGTCAAGGCAACCCTGGATTGCTTAGTAATCTCAACCAAAAACAACTCGTTCAAAGTGCTGCAAGATGATGATGATGATGTTCATCTTCCAAACTTATCTCGGCTCAAAGCTGAAAACTACAGTCCCATGCTTATGAATGCTAATTATGAAGTTCGAGCGACTTGCGACTCATGGATGCTGTTGACATGTACGGAACAACCTGACTATACATGGGACCTCCTCTGGGACCCCACAACCGACGAGATAAAAGCCCTTCCGTATTTTTCTTTGGCTTCTCCTCGTTTAACGGATATTTGGGCATACGGATTCGGGTTTGATCCTTCAGGGGGCGGCTATAAGGTGGTCAGATGTCGCTCCTCCAGAGACGATGACGATGACGATGACGATGACAATGTTACTCAGAAAGCGAAGATCTATGTTGAGCTGTTGTCGCTCGCAAGTGGTTCGTGGAGGGAGATTGCGTATCCTCATAGTCCGTATTATAAACCTATGCAACGACCATCTCTTCACATCAATGGAGTTTATTATTGGCCAGCTAGTCATACTGGAATTATTTCCTTCGACTTTGCTAAGGAGGAGTTTACCCCTGCTATAATCCCTATGCCCAAGAGGGGTAAGCTCATACTGAGCGGTAATGTTCTTGGTGAGGTAGATGGGTCGCTTGCTGTAATTATTTTCAATCATGGTGAAAAGCCTTTTAATTTCGAGCTTTGGGTGTGGAAGGACCCGGAATGGTCTAAACTGTCCTCAGGGGATGTCCCGGCTGCAGCCCATGCGCATTCCGTAAGGGGCCTCTACAATAAACGTAAACTGCTTCTTTGGAGCTCCTATGGTGACCTACTGCTTTACGACATTGATAGTACTGAATACAAGCCACTCGGTATCCATGCTGAGTCGTTGGGTCTGAATGTCATCCCATATGTTGCCAACGCCGACTCCAAATTAAAATCCTCGATGATAAATCTCTCGTCTGGTGCCAGTAACGTCGTTGCTAGTGCTATTCAGCGGCCACTTAGCGGCAACTTGAACCATAACAACAACAACAATAATCTTATGCTTATGGTGCAGTGTCTACTCAAGTGGACCCGCAATTACTTTGTATTGTCAATGGAAAACAACATGTTCAAAGTGATACAAGATGAGAAGAGTCTTCCTAACTTGTCTCAACTCAAAGTAGAGCAAAACTACGATCCCCTTTGTCTGTATGCCAAGTATCACGTTCTAGCGAGTTGCTACACTTGGATGCTGTGGACGTGTACCCAAAATCCGGGAAGTCCGGTGGAGCTTCTGTGGGACCCTAAAACCGACGTGCTCGTAACCCTTCCGTTTTTCGAGGCTGTGCCACGCGTGCCTTGCCCGATTATCACGTCCATGCATTGTCAAGGTATCGGGTTTGTATCAGGAGAATATAAGGCGGTCAGATGTCGCGTGTTCAAGCACTTCCGTTGCGAAAACGAAGCTCACGCGGAGCTTTTCTCGCTCGAAACTTGTTCGTGGAAGCAAATTCCTTTTCCCCATGATCCGCAGCTCGAAACCATGCAACATCCTTCGCTTCACATTCACGTCAATGGCTTTTATTATTGGCTAGCAGTGGATCCCACCAAGACGGAGGATCTTTGTGTTATTTCATTTGACTTTGCTAATGAGGAGTTTTCTCGTGATCTCATGCGTATGCCGGAGAGCGAAATTGCCCCCAATCTTAATCTTGAATGTGTTTGTCTTGCCGAGTTTCATGGGTTGCTGGCTGTTATTGTTTCTGATTGTAAAGAAGCATCACCTTTTATTTTTGAAATATGGGTACGGAGTGACGGCATCTGGTCCCGTGAATACACATACAAAGTCACTCATCCTCATGCTCATAATGGTGTTGTTCATCCGAGGGTCGTTGGCTTGTACAAGGATGATAAAGCATTTCTTCAGGACTCGGAGGGTTACCTATGGCTTTATGATCTCGTGAAGCGTGAGTTGGAGCCTACCGCCATCTGTGATGATAGTTTTAATATGGCAATCTATCCTTATGTGTGAAAATGAATGAGAGTCTGTGGTTTTGTTTCTCGCAGGAGCAGCACAACACATTAGGAAAGTGTTCTCTTATATCTTACTATAGATGTCTTATTTTCATGAACTGGAAACTCGAAATAGTGTTTGATTGATGGGCGCACCTTTGTTTCTTTACATTGTATGCTCCATTTTGATTTCAGCCCGTTGTTTCTAGTATAAAAACTTTGAAATCTTTTGTAAATGATCTTTTGAATTGACCATTTTCGGTGGAACTCTCGTGGCATTGATGTTTCGTAAAGCCCGTGTTAGTGCAATATAGAAAAATGCGCTTTGTGAGTTCCATTCTTTTTCTCGTTTTTAACCAATTTTCATTGTAGCAGTCTTAGTTACGTAAGGATCGTAAAATTAATACCAATAAGGCATTCACTAACTAGTACGTGTCATTTATGTGCCAGTGACGTTAGAAACAATAGTTTGTGTGGTTCAATTCCGGACAGTATTGGAAAATGCACTAGCTTCCAGGTTTTGTACGTACCTGACCAAATTCCTGTACTGAATTGTAATATGTTTGATATTGGTTTAATCATGAATAGTTTATTTCGTTTTCCTCTCCTCCTTCCTCAATGATTGATAATGTTGAAACACCCACGTGCTTCTCCCTTAATATTCGTTCTTTATGTATGTTCTTTATCTTTCCTTTAGGGAACTGAATGATAATCTTCTCACTGTGCGTATTCCTCCTGAACTTGGAAAACTCACGGCCATGAGCATCCTCGCCGCCCGCGATGAACATACGTTACTCTGACGTATCTTGACGAATTTTCAGAATGTTTTAGGAACTATGTAAGTCAAACTTTAGTCAAATTTTAATAACATTAATTACCTACTATTCTTAGTAACTTTTTTATTTTTCTTTTTTTTTTAAAAAAAAAAGGGCAGCCTTGGCGATGCTGGTCGAGGAAATCCTTGAGCGCCGCCATCGCCTGCAGAATCTCCCGTAGACTTGATCTGCCGCACCTCCTCACCACGTACACTATTATCCGCACCTCCTCTTCCGGAACTTGAACCGTGCCATCTCGCAACTCGCCATCCTCCGAATCAGCCTCCAGTTCACCTCTCCTAGAGGCATCTCCGCCGGCTACAGCCACTTCACGGCCGCCCTCAGCCCCTCCAATTCGAACACGAAAACCACCACAGCCACTTCATGGCCGCCCTCAGCCCCTCCAAATCGGAGTCACTTGACATCGGAGGAGGGCTTGAAGGAGACATCGGCGGTGGATTTTGCCGACGTCGGGTCGTTTGGATGCTGGTGTTTATGCCTTTTGCTCTTGATTTTCTGCTTGGTTGGTTTATCAGCCATTCATGGGGTTTGGTCTGCGAGTGGTGGGCTGAAAAGGGGGTTTTCAGTTTTTCTCGTGTTTGGTACTGTGATGT